CCTGGATTCACAGACTCTTCTCCTGCCTGGAGCTGATAGCACCCTTTCCTCCCTTCCTCCTCCAGAACATTAATTAGGAATCAGGATAGGACATGATGTGCAGGTCTTTGCCTGTCTCTTTTGATTGGTTGTTCACCCTCTGCTTACTTGTCGGCCATGCTTCACACAGCTGTCAGACACAGGCATCCTCATTAGGGTCAATTTGAATTCATCTGATAGGTTACAGCTCTAAGTAAAGGATTTCATGCCAAACCTCAAAAGAAGATCTTCAGTACAGCTTCACAAAGATTGTGTTGGTCGCTTAATAAGAAGTCATTCAAATAGCAGAAATGTGAATTCACTCCTGGGAAAATCGCTCAGCACTCAGGAGGTGCACAGCTTCTTAAACATGGGACGCCAGGTAAAACTAGCATTGAGGGATGGTAAGAAAACTTGAACTCAACTTCTCTGATTGGTTGATGCTTTGTGGTATGTATAACATTCACAGTGGGAATGACCGGATAACCAGAGAGCATCTGGTTCTTCCCCCTGCCTATCTGTATTTCTCCTGATGAAGGCTCGAAGGCTGAGCCAGTGACTAGTACATCTTTCTTGATAGTTCATCCCCAAACATGTGTCAATGACAGAGCTCACATTTTCACATGAACTATTTAACATGTCAAAGCTAACCATAAAGGGAATTATCAGCAAAGTAGCATCCTTCAGTGGGAAAGTACATCTTCCAAGACACTTTAAGGTCTATATGATCACTGAGAAAAGGAGGACATTTAACACCATGGTCCTGAAACACCCCTTTGCCATTCCCAAGGTTCATGCCGTTCAATAGGACAATGAATATTGGAAGAAGCCAGGATGCTCAGATGAGGGTGACATGTAGAGCCACAGACTCCTTTGAGTGCTTGGGGGATGGTGCAAGCTAGAATTATCTGGAGACAAGTGTGCCTCCTGTGGGGAAGCTAAGTCATCCGTTCATTGGAATGTAGGCATAGGGGACAGAATAAGATAAAGATGTCATAAGGTCTTGCTCTGTGGATGGATTTAACGTGTCCTATCCAGCCCTATATCAACACTATGTCCTCCTTTCTTTCTCCCCTTAACATCTCATATGCCTCCCATAGTGCTATATCTCTCTCTGTCAACACTACTTCCCTGTCTATTGCAACTTGACTATGGCCATTATACACACATAATCCAAGGGAAAGACCAGAGGCTCAATTTAAGGAAACAAGTGTGATATGAATCCTGCTCCACCAGGACACATCCTTAGCTCTCTCTATATCCAACTCTGCCTTCGAGAGTCATCATAACCAATTCTCAAGATGCTTAGGACTCTTTCTGAACTAAAGGACCCTAGTAAAAGCCATAAATGGTGGGTTTTGGCCACACCAGGTGCTATATCTATTTGGCCATGGAGCATTAAGAGAAAGAAAAATGTTCAAACACAGGACCATGCTTAGGAAAGCATCCTTCATGTGCATGTACAGGGTCATAAAGAACACTAGCAAAGTATATAGAAGGGTCTCCAAGATGGAGGGTCCTCAACTCTATCTTGCTTCAGTCATAGCTGGTTCTTAGGTAACAACTGAAAATTCAGTTCACTTTACACTAAGTAAACTGTACATTAAGTACATGAAGTGTCAGACTTCTGTGAGATCAGGAACTTGGAGACTAAGATGCTGCTGTAGGCTATAAGGTTTGCTATGTGCATCATGGTTGGCTTTAACTGTCAACTTGATACAACCTCGAATTTCCTGGGGAGAGTCACAGTGAGGAATCATCTACATTTGGGTTCTCCTGAGGCATGTCTATGCGTCATTATCTTAAGTTAATTGATGTGGAAAAACCCAGTCCATGATGGGTGGTACCATTCCCTAGGGAGGGGTCCCTAGCCTAGTTGAGAAAGCAAGATAAGCACAAGCAAGCGAGCGTAGAAACACACTCATTTCTCTCTGCCCTTGATTATGGATGTGATGTGACTAGCATCTCAAAGTTCTTGCCTTGACTGCCCTACAGCATAACCTGAAATTATAAGATGAAGTAAGTCCCCTTCTACACTAATTTTCCTTTTGTTAGAATATTTTCTAGCAGCAACATAAGTGAAACTAGGATACCCTCAGTTCTCTACCATGCTGGCATAGCCATCTCTACTTCTCCACTCATTCTCTGTCATGCAATACAATTTATTATTTATTGCTTGTATTGTTTGCTCCCAACCTTTCCTTTCCTATTTTTCCCTCTGTTGAATTCCCAGTGACTAGGCTCATGCCTGGAGCATGAAAAGCACTTAACACATATTTGTGGGATAACTTAAGCAAATGACTACGATGTGGACAATAGACTAGACAGAGAGTGATACTGTCTTTCACTATGAAAGGAAGTTGTGAGAATTTCCTAGGAAAAGATAACTTCTAACTGAATCTTGAAGGAAGCACAAGAACCACAGGAAGAAAAGTAGAAAAAAAAATTAGCTGAGCTATATTACGAAGCACAAAGCAGAGATTGGAATTGTTGTCTGCGGTGGGCAGAAGCCCTCTGCTCAATCAGCTTCAAGCTGGAAGACAAGCCAGAAAGCTTCTAGAGATTTAAAATGTAAATACATTCATGGAGCAGTTTTTGTTTTACAAATTAATTAAATTGAGATAACAACAGACAGGCTAACTAACATTCTGCTCAACTGATGTTTAAAATATGCTCAAGGTCTCTCTAGTCTAGTCGCCTGAAAGATGTGAACTAATTTTCTTTTGTGTTTATTCCATGACAGCACTCACTGGTGCTTAGGTCAGAAGCATCTCAGAGTCTCTTGAACAAGGACAACTGCTTCCTGCTCCTGGGACAGCCCCACCCTCCTTTCAGTGCTGAGCTTGTCTACTCGGGATTCCCAACATCATCCTGCATTCAGTTAGAACAAATATACATTGTAAGAAGCCATGAGAGGATAAAACCTAGAACCTCTGCTCGGATGTGACCCGTGATAGCTCAGTAATCAATTGGTTTCTCATAGTAAGGGGAACAAGGACTATTTCTAACAGGAACTCAATGACTGGTTCTTTGACCTCCCCACCTCCCAAGGGAGGAGCAGTACTGTTATGCCACAGAGGAGGACTTTGCAGCTAGCCCTGAAAATACCGGACAAAACGGAGTCATATGAAAGGGGAGGAGGTCCTCCCCTATTAGTGGACTTGGAAAGGGGCAGGGAGGAGATGAGGGAGGGAGGGTGGGACTGGGGAGGGAATGAGGGATACAGAATTAACAAAATGTAACTAATGAGAAAAATAAAATTAAAAAAAAGCCAGAAATAAATAAATAAATAAATAACTGGAATAAGAGTTAAAAAAAAAAAAAAAAGAAAAGAAAAGAAAAGAAAAAAAAAAAAAGAAGAAGCCAAAATGCTTCCTTGACATCCTCTCCTGGGATTTGGTTCCCTCTTAGGCATCATCTTTTCTTACATACAGGTCATCATGGTCAAGATAGCATTCTTTTCCCAATGCAGGCAGAGTCCAGAGTTGTCCAGAGCACATATCAATGAAGCTTAGCCTCATGGTGCTTTTGGCTGAGAAACTTAACTCTTCTTGGTTAACTAATCTTTAAAATGAGTTTCAGTATTTAAACAACCCACTTAAAAGTTTATATACAGGACTGAAGAGGTTGATCCATGGGCGAAGAGCTTCTGCATGCCAAGAACCTGAGTTTAACTACTAGAGCCCATGTTTAAAATGCAGAGCTGGAAGCATGTGTGTAGTCCCAGCACCAGGAAGACAAATTTGAGGATCCCTGGGAATCACTTGTCAGTCAGCTTAGCCAGCTAACCAATAAACCTCAGGTCAGTAAGAGATCTCCATTTTTTATGGGATGGTTCTGGAGGAATGACACCTGACGCCGACCTCATGCCTTCCCATGCATATGCATGCTGCCTCCCCCAAATGTGTGTGCCAGTGCGGTGGCCCACATTTTAACAGCATCCCATTCATCGTTCTCGGTTGGCTATGCTCCAACTTCTCTTAAGTTCTGCTCAAGCATGCTTTGTACCTAAATGTAACACGGAGACACTGGTTCAAAAAAGAAGTGATGTAAGCACAGCACTCACTATGAAATTCTAAAAAGCATTAAATTAAAAGTATAAAACAAATGCGACACTCCTACAGTGTACAACTAAGACTGTGTCTAGATGTCACTGGCTTACTCATTAAGAAATCTGCAGATGTGATGGGAATAAAACACAGCACCGGAGACAGGCAGAGACAGGCAGAGACTGGCACAGCAACAGGTGTAGTTCAACCCCAAACTGTTGAGAGCACTGTTGAGTGAGCACTGAAATGGGAGGCTACGAGGAACACACCAGATGCAACATTTTTCTATCAAATAATTTCCAAGGAGCTCGATGCTGAAATCCTCTCATGGTCATTTGGGTCAAAACACCATAAAAAGGCTATGAAATAATGCCATGAACTGCAATAATAGCTAACAACAACAGGGCACCCGTGCTCTCCATGGAATGCAAAGTGCTTCACAGGCATCAACCTATGCCAGTGAAAGTGGCAGGCTTTGCCCTGGCACTGCCCAAGCACCAGTTTATCACTTTCCTAGGTCACGGCTGCAGGGAATATGCATATCCCCATCTGAGTTTCCTCTGCTCTGAGTCCACAGGCCTGATGAGTAGAATCTCCACTGTGGTAAGAGGCCATGTCCACCTGCCGAGTCCTGATGGTACAAGTCCGTGTTTACTTGTTTCTGTGTGACTTTAATGACCATTGAGCTTGCTAACAAGGGGCTTAAACAAACCTAACATTTTCTGGACATTTCTGGGTCTCTCCCAAAGGCAGCTGGACAGCCTCTGCCCTCCTCTCTCTCAAATACATGCATCTGTTTCCAAGAAAGAAGCTACAACAGCTCATTTTCAGCCACTGTTCCAGATCCAGGCTCTTCCCATGCAGCCATCTATCAGCAAGCATTCCCTAGGGAAATGAGGAAACAAGAGCCAGCTCCCCCACACTCTCACTCACCATGGTGCTGCTGTGCTCTGCCAGGTCAGCCTCGGAAATGGCCTTATTGTGATGGAGAAAAAGGTCTCGGAGAAAGTTCTGTGAAACCAAGGGTGACAATGAACACAGTAAGAAAATAAAATACAAACTTGTGTAAGATCTTTTCAGTTGGGTGGGGATTGTAATTTGTTTCATGGAGGAAGTAAAACGTTAAATAAGCATTAAGTGTGAGCGAGGAGAGCTGCCACTGAAGGATGCTCTTGAAACTCAGGAACTCTAAGCACAAAAACATGTCATAAAAGCTCCATTCACCTCTTTCCCAAAGACAACAGCATGACAAGCACTCTCTAAACCTTTACTTATTTCCTCATTTATTTACACATTTTTAAATTTTAATTTATTATTGTGCTTTATGTGTGCATGCATGCACATGACTGTAACATAGGGGGATGAGCAAGAGCATGTGGAAGTCAGAGGACAACTCTGTGGAGTTGTTTTTCTCCTACCTTTATGTGGCTCTAAGAATTGAGCTCAGGACATTGGGCTTATGTCATTTTACTGGCTGAGCCACATTGCCAGCTCACTCTCTTTTTAAAGTATCAAATTCAAAGCCGCATGTCTTGGACCCACAGATATATATATATTCTCCCCAAAGATGACCAAACCAACTCTTCACCCAGTGATACTTCCCACTGATACTCACGGAAAGCTCAGCAGCTGATATGAAGCCGCTGCTGTCCGCGTCATATTTGCGCCAAATCTGAAAACACACAAGAGCCATTACTCTCAAGTCTGACCTACCTGACTTCTTGTTATCTGACAAGAAGCAGCCTAATAGAGGGTTTATCTCAGCTCATGGTTCAAGAGAATACACCTGCTCATGGTGTAGAAGGTTCAGCTGTGGGAGCTCAAAGCAGCTGGTCACATTATATCCACAGTCAGGAAGCAGAGAATGGACAAAAAGTAGGGCCAGGCTATGGAACCTCAAGGTCGAGGCCCAGCGACCCACTTGCTCCAGTCAGGCTCTACCCCAATCAGAGACCAAGTGTCCAAACACATGAGCCAGGGAGGACTTCTCACATTCAAAGCATAACACCGAACATCCTCGGGTAATTTCGGGTTGACTTATACTGGTTTCCTGCGATTCAGCATCTGAAAATGGTCCCTAACTGGATACAAATAAGACATTTCCTGTGGAGATCAATGCTAGCTGGGGTGACAGTAACTGTTTGGGTGGAACTCAGCAGAGATGAAGATGTATCCCTGAGATCTTCCAGAGCCACCCAAGAGGACTGTGCCTCCATTGGAAAACTCAAAATAGAATCCCAAGATAAGAGACTTCTGTTGAGGACGGCGCAGAAATATCTTCTTTGTGTTAAAAATCCAGAAGTGCAAGATACTATGCAAATACTGCTTTAAATATAGTGCTGAGCTGTTAAAAACGTGAGAGAGGTTCTAAGGACCCCACAAGACAAAGAAGCAAAACAAATGTGTCCGAGGCATGCCTGTTGAGCTTGGACCACATAGGTGGGCTTACCAAGAGAACTGTACTACTGAGAGACAGATCTGAGGCAACACAAGGTGGAAAATGTGGCTGTTACCTATTTACAACTAAAACGCTACAGAGTAATGTCTTGGTGAAATGATGAACTTTGGGGGGGAGTAAAGATTCTAAGAGCAAGATGAGTTTTCTCATGTAAACCTAGCACTGCCTGGATTACACAGAATTAACTGCCTGGGTTACACAGCATTAACTGCCTGGGTTACACAGCATTAACCTGCCAAAACAAACAACAACAACAACAACAAAAAACAAAAAACAAACAAAAAAAAAAAAAACAAGCAATTGGCCCTGATGGTGCATGCCTATAATCCTAGAGCTTTGGAGAATGAGGCAGGAGGATTACAAGTTCAAAGCCAATGTGGGCTACATAGAGATCGTGTCTCAGAAAACCTAAAGCTTCACAGTGGCAAGCCATCTGTGGTAGTTTGAAGAGGTGTGGCCCCTTGGATTCATGTGTTGGAATGCTTGACCACAGGGGGTGGCACTATTAGGACCTGTGGCCCGACTGGAGGAGATGTGGCCTTGTTAGAGGAAGTGTGTCACTGTGGAGCTGGGGCATTGAGGTTATACATGCTCAAGCTATGACCAGGGTTGGACACAGTCTTATTCTGCTGCCTTCCTTCAGATCAAGACTCCTCCAGCTTCATGTCTGCTTTCACACTGCCATGCTTCCAGCCATGATGATAATGGACTAAGCCTCTGAAACTGTAAGCCAGCCCCAATTAAATGTTTTCCTTTATAAGAGTTACCACGGTCATAGTGTTTCTTCACAGCACTGGAAACCCTAACTAAGACACCTTCTCTCTTGATGGTTGAGGCCAGCACTGATACACTGAACTGTAAGCTAAAACAAACCCTTCCTTAATTTGATTTTGTTGGAGATTTTGTCATAGCATCAGGAGAATAACAAATATATCAACTGCCAGGGGCTTAATTTCTAGACACAATCAGATTGTAGGCCCTGCAGGGGTAATGTGAGACACTGTTCCTGATACTAATATTTAATGAGAACTAGTTGGAAATGTCACTCATTTCAGCCTGTGTCGTTTGTGATTGATTTAGGCAGGCTTACAAAATCTGTGTTAAATGTAAGTATACTCAATGGTGAAAATGTCAAGTAATTCTAAGAAGCACTCATTTTTACAATGCTTGTCTCCAAGTTGTCTCCATTTAATGATCTTATAATAATCATTGCATTTGAATCACTGGAGAACTAAAGATTTTAAGTGAATAATCAGTAAGCCTGTTTTTAAGAATACAAAATAAAAAGATGCCCAGGCAAGAAAAAAAAAAAAAAAAAAAAAAAAAAAAAAAGCAGACTCATAGGAAAGATGACACCCTATAAAATGGGAGGAACACAAAGAAGGACATTTAAGACACAAAAAAAAAAAAAATGGGGGAGAGGAAAGGAGATGGTACAGTGGACAAAGTGCTTGCTTTGTTCAGACCTGCTAAGTTCAGATATTTAGCACCTATGTGAAAAATCTGTATGTGACATCATGCACTTGTAATCCCGGCTCTGATAGATGGAGACAGGAAGGTCCTGGGGCTCTTGGCATGAACTCCATGTTCAGTAAGAGATTTCATTGCAAAAGTAAATAAATCAACAAACAGATAGATGATAGATAGATAGATGATAGAGATAGATAGATAGATAGATAGATAGATAGATAGATAGATAGATAGATAGA